GAAGAACCCGTCCAGAAGACCTATACTATTTTTTTGTTTTTGATTTTTTACCTGGATTACTGAGATGCATCAGGACATTTGAAATAAATGTTTGCACTGAACAAAAACTGTGTCTAACAGTCAGAATCTTTGAAAACTGTGTGTAAATTGTGTGACATACAGTAAGTAATGCATTTTGCATTTGTAATCATATTTTCAGCGTTCTCCATTAATGGAAAGCAGTGTCAATCAAAATGACAGTTTTATTAAAATCCACCAGATGGCGCCAGAGCGTTTTGATTAAAAGGGCACACATGAGAAACTTGAGCCAAAACCAACAAAACTTTGTACTTAAAGTAAATTATATAATTTGATTTGCTGCTTTTGTTAATTAAGACAAGGATTTGCTGTAAATATTTAGAAAAATAAATTATGTAGGGGATAAAGGATATATACAAATAGTAAAAACAAAAACAATCATAACGTTTCATTTAATTTTCAACATGTCAATATTCACAAACAAATACAAAACATTTTTTGCAATATTGTACCAAATCGATAAAAAAAAAGCATTAAGTGCTTCTAATGCTTTTCAGTTCATTTTACTTGCTCAGTGAGAAAAATCCAGTCTGACTTTTTGGGCTTTAAYAAGTTCATCAGAAATGTGTCTGAATGTCTGAGGTGGCGATGTGAAGAACAGCAGAGGTAATCGTCTGTGACTCAGGACCTTTACCTGGATGTGTTGAACTTCATCGCTGAGAGTTCACATATGTAGGCAGATCCAAACAGGACTAATCAAAGAGCAGCTTGGAGGGGTGGGGTTTAAGTAGATTTGCATCTTCTATTTGAATGTCTTTGCTGATGCTGAGGKTTTTTTGTTTGTTTGTTTCTATGTAATTTGCACAGAAGTTATTAACTTGTTACTTGAGGTAGAATATGCACTGCATTACAAAGGATAGTTAATACTTGTTAATTAAAAACAATTCTGCTCAGTTTTATGTAAATTGAAACAACTACTCTTTTAAAATAAAAAAATGAATCTTCTCTCACAAATACACGAGTTTACTTAAAAGTACGTATTTTAACAAAGTCTTAAAACTAAATGTGCAAAATATAAAAGACGTAGAAGAACATAACCAAACGTTTCTCTCCATCTTCTTCCAGGTTGCTCAGCTGGAGGCCGAGACTCCACCTGGAGGCCCCAGGACCGAAGCCCTCCCTCCTGCTCGCAAGGAGGGCGACCTCCCCCCTCTGTGGTGGGACTTCGTCACCCGCCCCAGGGAGCAACCGTGAAAAACGGCTCCTCTCCCCGGGGATCTGTCAGGCTCGCTCTGAGGGGAAAAATGACCCGAAGCACGCGACATCACCATCACCTGGCTGATCTCTCTGTCTGTGTTGAGTCGTATCTAAAGGAGTTCACCTGTGCAGGTGGAAGATGGTTAACAGTAATCCTGATTTCCTTACAGATTTAAGTCGTTGATGGCACAGAAACTCTGTAGATCTCCAGCTTATTACATGTAATTGTTCTAATAAATATATTTATAATCAGTGCTGCGTGGATGTGTGTTTAATACAGAAACGGTTGATCATAAATCAGCATTTGGCAATAATATTGTTTCATGTGCTAAAACAGACCTGCAAATATCACCAACTAAAATAGGCATCATGTCTCCTGTTTGAAGTGTTTTGACTTATATAAACCTGATCTTTTAATTAAGCTGCAGACAGAAGCTAAATATATAAACCAAGATCTAAGGAAATTTATTATTTTTAAAGCACCAATAAAGTCAATGTTAATAATGTAAGGAGATGGCTTTTAGCAACAACAAAACGGTAAACTCGTAAAGACTTTGGGAAGTTTTCTGAACAAGCACCAGGCCCTACTTGGTTACACTCGTTGCTTGATGCAGGTGTTACATCATATTTTGTGACCGTCATATATTGTGACCAGAGGGGGCGCTGTTGCGTTTCTACAACAGAACTTAGCTGAAAATAACTACAAAGAAGAATATGATAGGCCAAAAGTGTAACCCAGAGGTGACAAAATATGACAACTGTTGTCATATATTGTGACGTAACAGTCACCATGTCAGTGATCAAAAAGTTATTTTTCTGACACTAGAGGATGTAAACGATTAGTATAAATAGTTTTTGAATAAAAATTGGTACTATTTCCTTAACTACAGTCACGGTATATGACAGCTGTCATATTCTGTGACCATGTATAACAACAGTCAACAGTTTTTGTTTTTTTCTTCGAATGTCTTCAGCCTCTGGCACTGTTGGCGTATCGTATTCTTCTTTGTGGCCATGTTCGGCCAAGTTCTGTTGTAGAAACGCAACAGTGTCCCCTATGGTCACAATACATGACGGTCACAAAATACGGTGTAACAACGGCGCTCCATAACTATGGCGAAAGACGTAGTGATGAAGGGGGTCGGAAGCTGCGTGGCCGGATCATCATGGTGACGGCCTTCAGAGAGTAGAAATCCGAATCCTTCCAGGAGAACCAGACGATGCCGTCCGGCCCCAACAAGTTGTTCGCCCTCAGAGAATAACGGCCGCCCTGATGGAAACCGTTATACTTTTATTCTGTTTATTTATATCGTCTAATAAAAAATCTGATCTGTCAGCTCTACCTTGTAGTAAACTCCATTAAGGTTGGTGTAGTAACATTGGTGGAACCACCAGCCGGAGTGGCTGATCTCAGCACAGAGGTTGCCCGTGTCTGGCGTGCTGAAGCCGTGCTGGTCGTGATACCAGCCGAACGAATCCTCCACCGACCCACTGAAACCAGACACATGGAGGCGATACTGGTTCTCCTCACTGTCTATCCTGCAGCAGGAGGACAAAACATTTACTTTTAGGATTTTAACAAATGTTTCAGCAAATAAAACTAGAGGAAAATGTATTCCTGYATGTATTTTTGGATTATTTTGTGTAATATGGAGGGAAAAGGCTGACTTCAAACTAGGTAAACTGTCACAGTCTTCTCTGCTTTTTAATGCCATGATTATTCAAAAAAAAAGCTGTGGGTGGCAACAGGTATTCTGATGCATCTCAGTAATCCAGGTAAAAAATCAAAAGGAAAAAAATTGTATAGGTCTTCTGGACGGGTTCTTCTCTAATGAAACGTTTCGTCTCTC